TAGCTATATCACATTTTTCACATCACTATATCACCGTTTAGACTAATCTGATGTTTGTAAAGTCTATAAACACAATGATTGAACAAACATTACTATCTCTGTGTGCACATTTTGTAATTAATAACGTGGTTATCGTAGATTAGCTGAGCTAACCGTTAGGTATTAGCCCCATTAGCGGTGTCTGTAGTAACTCAGTAACGGTAAACGGTCCGTGAAAAAAATATTTTTTCCAGCGGATATCTTAGTTACATCATGATTGAGCTAGCAAAGCAGTTTTGTGTTGCTATGTGTGGTATTTATTCAGTTTTGGGAAATCACGATGTCTAGAAAGCATCAGTGGCTGCAGCTGACAGGGACAGCTAACAGCAGCAACAAAGCTAACATCAGGACATCATCTGTTAAAAGCCTCCTGTTGGGGGCGTTGGTAGTGTAGTGGGTAGTGCCGGTGCCCCATGTACAGAGGCGATGCCTCGCTGCAGCGGTCGCAGGTGTGCTCTCTCTCACCCCATTTCATTCTGTCCTGTACCTTAAAGGCAAAAGCCCAAAAAAATAATCTTAAAAAAACAAAAAAACAAAAAACAAAACAAAAAAACAAAAATGGACACGGAGCTTGCTATTTCTGTAGGTACACATTTCCTGGGGACACCTGCACATCTTGGCCCGGCCCCCTAACTTTGTGATTGGCTAAAGCGCAGCATGTTCAAACTCAAAGTAATGTGACAGAAAAGCAAATGAACACTTTATAAATGAAACTGACTGCTGTAGTTTGCAGTGGAGTTGTACTGGATTCCATTAGGTGTGTAGTGCAACCGACAGGGGAACAAAAGACAAACAAACAAAAAAAAAAAGAATATGCAAGGCCACTCCTCACAAAACTGTAGCAGTAATCTAAACTTTCTGTCCCTGTTTGCATTCAGGTATTGTCAGATATGGTACTGAACATGTAGGTTAGTAACTCACAGCTGATGTAGAGGTTTACTGGATCACTGGTGTCATTACTGACAGGATTGGATACTTGACATCTGAATGGTCCCTGGTCACAGCGGGTCATGTTAGCTATAGTGAGAGTAGCGCCTCCATCAGTGAGTTGGACTCTGTCGCTGGCTGTAACCTCAGAGCTGCCGTTCAGCCAGAGGAAAGACAGAGAGGATCCAGAGGAGGAGCAGGACAGACAGATCGAGCTGTTGAACTCCACCAAGTCTGTGCTGCTGGCTGTTGCTTTTACATTGGAAACTGGCACTGTGGGTGAAAAACAAAATTATTTTTTATTTGCCACCACATGACAGAGGTACAGTGGTGACAAACACTGCTGTGGCTGAGAATGAATCTGTTTATCATGAGATGTTGAGGATTTTCTAACTTATCAATCAAATCAATCAAATCAATCAAAAAGGCTATTTGGGGCTTTTAGAAAATGCGTTCCACATTAGAAGGTAACCTCAGGCTCTACTTTCTGGTGGTGTTTTTTTAATATAAATTATCAGTGTAATGTCGTTCAGTTTACCACCACAAAAAAGTATGACAAAGTTTAAGTAGTGCCTCTCTGATACAGTCTTAACATGAGCTAAAGTAATACAGTCTATCCAGGTGTGTCTAAAGAAAAACTCAGTGTTTCCATGATATATTTTCTTAAACTTAATTACAAATGGGCATATTGTTCATCATCATCAGAGGCCATGTGAAATTATTCATATCTCAGTTATGATGCAGTTATTGCAAGACTTGGAGGCTTTAAATTTCATGATGAGAAACCATCTGAAAATTTACATAGTGACGCCATTTAAGCATGAAATATTATTTTTGACCTTGGAAATAGTAATTTGACAAAAAAGAAAAGTTCACGTACAGTACTTTAGTAGTTGTGTATGAATTATGGTCTCAGTATACATATTATTTCTGCATTCAGCACTGAAATAGATACATGTGAAATGTTGTCTCACCATATACGTTCAGTCTGGTTTCACCTGTCTTCTGTGGCTCTCCAAATGGAAAAATGCTAACTCTGTATACCCCACTGTCATTCAGAGCCACATTTCTGAGCTCCAGAGATCCAGTAGACATGAAGAGGGTGATCCTGTCTTCATACTCTGGTGCAGTTGTATTTACACCACTGAAAGTGATTATAGATTTTCCATTAAATGACCAGCCCAGTGTTAGAAATGGTTTCTCTGATGGAGTCAGTGTTGTGTTGAACATCACCGTCTCTCCCACAGCTCTATTTAGAACATCAGGCAGCACACCAACTCCTTTGGTTAAACCTGGGGAGACAGTTACAGGTCTGAGAGGGACTATAATGAGGACACTGCAAAATGGCTTACTGTGATGATGTGCTGAAATCAATTCAAGTCAACAAATCAAGTCAGACTTTATTTATGGAGTACATTTAAAAACAACTGCAGTTCACCAAAGGACTGAACAGGCACAAAATATCAAAATATATATATATAGAAGCAAACAACAGTAAGGACATCAGAAAAAAATAATTGTAATAGAGAACACAACAGAAGTCTTGATTTGGAAACTTCTCAAAACATAAAACTGCAGTAGATAATAAAAAAACCTGCTCTCTCTGACCAACCTAAACCTAATTTGGAGCTTGAAGTTTTTGCCCAACACTTTACATTGTTATTGATGATATTTCATTTGTACATGTTACTAAGAATAGTGAGCCTTGTAGTATGTGTCACAACCGTCAGCAGATTACAATCATTTTTCGGTGACAGCACAGATCATGGACGAGCTAGGATGACCTCAGCTGTCCAACCCACTTTGTTCTATATTTTATTCCAGCTGTTGCTTAGCGCTTGGTGCAGTATTTAACCAGTGTTGACCTCACAGTTTTATCTTTCCCAGTTATCCACAACCACATTCATCTAATAAACACGAGAGTTCAACTTCTTTTCAGCCTACGATCAGACTGAATGGCAGTTTCATTATCAGTCACTTGAATTTACATGGTGATTGTATAACTACCTTCTCCTTAATTTATGTATTAGTTATAGCTGCATGCCTCAGCTTGTGCTGTACAAGCAACTGCAGATGAATCTTGAGTGCAAATGCAGAGTTAAACATAAAAGGTTCAGTGTGTGGGGTTTAGAGGCCTCTGTTGGCAGAAGTGGTTTGTAGAGTGTATTTTCCCTTGTTCATATACTAGCCTACTTAAAAAAAACTGTGTGGCCAACACAGACTCTGTGAAAAGGAAGTTCTGAGCTCCATTTGTCTGAGTGAGGAAAAGACTAACATATTTTTTACATATAATTATCAAACAAAATAGCTCCATGATACAAAAAAGTCTGAGAGGAGAATACAGTATAACACTATGCTACATGTATTACATTCTCTTGTGAATGGCTTTTTGTCAGTGCTGCATTGGGTTATTAGGTATTTTTGTCAGGTGGCAATTTTCACTGTCCAACAAATTCCCAGCTAACCGGGACATTTCCATTTACAGAATCGACAGACTAAACTTATATGTCTGTGCACTCATATTACTACAGATGAGAAGCTCGTACCATCGTTTGCGGAAAAGAAACTGACTGCCCATTTGCAGTTGTCTCACAAAGCTCTCTCAAAGCTCTGACACTGTTAAGCATCAATCATTACATTTTGATAAATATCTGACTAAACTGCTTTTATCTTCTGTCATTTGTTAAGAGCTCACCTGAGATGACTGCAAGAAGGATGAAGTGTATCACAGTTGTTTCCATTTCTTTTGCAGTATCATCAGATATCGGAGAAGTGACGGCTCACAGTGCTTTATCCTTGGTGATATGAAGTAAGTACAAGGAACCTCTGACAGGTAAATCACCTGCACTATTTTCGTCAATCATTAACCATGAACATACTAAACTTTGATCACCAAGCAATCAAAATCATTTATTATTAATAACAAAGGACTTCTTGTTGATATCATGTACGGATAACAACAATCAGCACAGTTTGACACGACTAAATATTCAGGGGTTAGGTCATGTATTAACACAGTATCCTGCACTGCATGTGATAAAGTTATATTCTATGTGTGTCATCTTGTAATTATACTGCAGGCTCTCTGGCATTTTAATCTGTCCATTATATTGATCCAGCCTAAAATATCTCAACAGCAGTTTGATTATGTATTGCCTGTAAATTGAGAGTTAAATTTTTTCTCTTTAAACATGAAAACCAAGCATACAAACCAAAACAATACAAAAAGATCTATAAAAGCTTAATTTATCACAAGAAACTAGAAACACTAGAGGCTTGTTTATTTGTGATGTCACACATTAATTCATGTTTATGTTTTGCCTAATATACATAGCCTAACCAAACATACTATGTTTACCAACCCACATGTTGCTTGTGGAATCACTAATACCACAGCAGTATGTCAGTACAAACACATTTACACCACTGGAGGGCGACGTCTTGCAGCTTTAGGGTATGACTGCATCTTCAGTGGGTTTGTCTCATTATGCAACATAGTCACTCATAAAATTAGAGCTGCCGATGCTCACATTTATTTGGACAGTCAAACCTTTGATGGTTCAACTTTCCTCAGCTGTTCACATCTCACAACGATCGATCAATGGATATTTTACCTTTACTTTGTATTGTCTCTGCGGCTTTTACAGGTAAGAATCATGATCTTATACGTTTTATTGTCTTTGCTGTCGGTGTTTGAAATACATTTTCTGTATTTTAAAAATTGTCACATTGTTGAGAAGATGTTGGACAGAAGTTTAGCAACTGATCTTGAGGTCTGCTAACCATGCTTTTGTGACTCAGTAGCAGAATGGATAACAGATCATAGTCTAACTGGTAAAGGCAACTTAATTGCTGCTATTAATTATAGTAAGCTGTACTGCATGTGGTTTTGGTGATTGGGAAATGACTTTTTTTATGTAAATAAAAAAAAGTAGTTTTACTAAAATAGTATGAATCAAAATCATGTTAGATGAAGCTGCTATGTGTGTGTTGGTTTGATAATGAACTCAAGGATCTCTTACTAACTGGGTCACTTTGTTAGATTTGATGTCCATAATTTGATTTTAAAAAAAGATGATGTCCGAAAAGGTCCTCTACTCAAACACATATGATTGACAATCACTCTAAGTTTTTTTGATTGCTTATCTGTTTTTAATAGATAGACAACCTCAGTAAGGCATTATGGAAAAGATGATTTGGGGGGGTTTCTTTCTCTTTCTAAGTGGCCCATTTTGCAATGTACTCAACTTACTGTAGCGTTCTCAGGCCTGTAACTGTCCCCTCCAGGTTTAACCCAAGGAGCTGGTGTGTTGCCTGATGTTCTGAATGCAGCTGTGGGACAGACGGTGATGTTCACCACAACACTGACTCCACCACAGAAACCATTTCTAACAGTGGGCTGGACATTTGGTGAAAAAGATATAATCACTTTTAATGGTTTGAATATAACTGCACCAGAGTATGAAGGCAGGATCACCCTCTCCATGTCTACTGGATCTCTGGAGCTCAGAAATGTGGCTCTACATGACAGTGGGGTATACAGAGTTAGCATTTTTCCACTTGGAGAAGAATTTAAGACAGGGAACACAAGGCTGAATGTATATGGTGAGACAATATTTCAAATGCACGTATTTCAGTGTTGACAAGAGAGCACGCGTAGCATTTCAACAAGGAAAAGACGTTTGAGTTTAAATAATTGTGTTTAGGTGTTCATTGGTTTCAAATAAGATCTATAATGAGACCAGAAACAGCTACAAAAATAACAACCACTATTACTATTACCATTATTATCACATAACATAATAATAATTACATAGTCAGAGTCACAAATTTGATATCTTTAGACTCGACAAAATCAAAAAGAATTGGACATTAATACCAATGATTTGTGAATTCACTTGGACTTGAGCCTTTTGATTTATTGTACTTCTTGAGAACTTCTCTTAGGAAAAGAAAGCTAAGGACATTTTTACAACACGTGATGAGTTAGGTACAGAAAAATACAAATTTCATTGTGTTGTGGTACTGATTTACATGCTAAGAAAGTGAAATGTCAGCACTTTTTATGATCTGGTTCGGTCTCATTTGTTTCTAAAATGGAGCATTATGCCATTATGAGCAAATAATTACTTGTTTGGACTCGCAAGGACTTGGGACATTGGTCAACCCTGACTTGAGACTTGACTCAGAACATTCTTATCTTAATTTAGGACTTAATTTGAGACTTGGGTGCAAAGACGTGAGACTTGCGAAACAATGACTTGGTCCCACCTCTTGAACAAAGATAAACAAGTAGTGAAAAGCCTGGGAAAAGCAAGTAAATGAACCTTCAGTGAACATTTCTCTTTTGTCAAACTACTATTTTCAAGGTTAAGAATAAACTTTCACTCTCAACGTACTTGAGTATGTAAATTGGGGGATGATTTCCTCTTTTTTCTTCTTTGATTTTAAATGGCAGTTGGCGTCCAAAAAGTTGCAGTAGCCCCACCTACTTGATTTACCATAAGGTCTCCACTTACCACACAATTTAAAAAATCAAGAGACCACTTAATGGTCACATTTTAACACCAAGTTACTTGAACTTATGGGATATCAATCTTTCAATTTAGGAAGCACAAGAGATTGTGAATCAGTTTCACCTGCTTTGGTGCAAGTGAAAGTGACAACAGGTGCAATGGAGAGGCAAAAGCAAGGTGACCCCCTAACGGGGAATGGTTTTACAATGTGGTGGCCACAGACAGTTGCTCTACCCTTATCCTTCCTGACTGATTCTCCTCTAGTTTTGTGTTCTGCTAGTGTCCTCGTCACTACTGGTAGCATGAGGCGGTACCTGCAGCCCAATCAAGCTGCACAGGTAGTCCACCTCTAGGATGGCGCATCGATCCCTGCGATCGCAAAAAGGTTTGCTGTGTCTCCCAGCACAGTCTCAAGAGCATGGAGGAGATACCAGTAGACTGGCTGTCACACAAGGAGAGATGGACAGGTCCGTAGAAGGGCATCAACCCAGCAGCAGGACCGGTATCTGCTCCTTTGTGTGAGGAGGAACAGGAGGAGCACTGTCAGAGCTCTACAAAATGACCTCCATCAGGCTACTGGTGTGCATGTTTCTGTCCAAACTGTCAGAAACAGACTCCACTTGGACCAAAGAATAAACTCATTACAATCTTATGGTTGAAGGTCAAAGTCAGTGTGACCTCACAAAATATGTTTTTGGCCGTAACTCAATAATTCTCATGCTAATGATAACAAAACTTCACACAAATAGGATAGGATAAAAAATTAAGTGATGACATTTTAGATTCTAAAGGTCAAACGTTAGCTTCACAGTGACATCATAATGCTATTGTGTAGATTTAATGTGCTTTTGGGGGGAAAATGTGTGTGAAAAATCAATTTTTTTTCACAGACATGGATGTAAACTATAATAGAAACTTGACCAGTGCGCAGAGGCATACAGCTGCTGGGTGATAATTTTAGTGTGTAGTGGCAGGAGCTAATGTAAACTTTAAATTCAGTGTTTCCCAATACTGTGACTCTGTCATGTGGTGGCAAATATAAATGTTGTTTTCACCCACAGAGCCAGTTTCCAGTGTAATGGCAACAGCCAGCAGCACAGACTTGGTGGAGTTCAACAGCTCAGTCCGTCTGTCCTGCTCTGCCTCTGGATCCTCTCTGTCTTTCCTCTGGCTGAACGGCAGCTCTGAGGTTACAGCCAGTGACAGAGTTCAGCTCACTGATGGAGGCACCATTCTCACTATATTAGACGTGACCCGCTATGACCAGGGACCATTCAAGTGTCATGTGTCCAATCCTGTCAGTGATGGCACCAGTGATCCAGTGAACCTCTCCATCAGCTGTGAGTTACTAACCTACATGTTCAGTTCTTTATCTGACGACATCTGTTTGCAAACAGAGTGAAAGAGTTTAGATTATTTGTTATTGTGGTTCCCCATTAGCTGTGCAAACTATTAAACACATATTCTGACCCACTGAAATAAAGCACAAAATTACTGTAAACTGCAGCACAATATGAACTAAATCAATATACAATCAGTTTAATTCAGAAACTGTTAATTGCAGGCTTGTTCTGTTATATTAAATTGCCCTGAGGTGTATTTTTTTCTCATGACTTGATGTATGATAATGCTGTTGTGTATACTAACTTTTTTGGTGTTGTTTTTTTCTTGCTCTACCCCCAGATGGCCCAGAAAATGTTATTTTAACAATATCTCCGTCACAAGAATACCATGAAGAAGGGTCAAACATCGACCTGATGTGCTCAGCTGACTCCAAACCTGCTGCCCAATTTAAGTGGCTTCTGAATGGAGTCCTGCTGTCTGATACTGGACCACAGTTCAGGCTGATGAACATTCAGATGAGTCAAAGTGGGAACTACAGCTGTCAGGCCTTTAACAGCAAAACTCTGAGATATGAATCATCTCCACCTGCCACCATCTCTGTACTGAGTGAGTTTGAATAAGTTTTATTTATTTTATTTTTTTTGCAAAAAAAAATGGATAGAAAAGGTGAGACCTGTGATAGTATCAGAAAAAAACCTCTTAAATACAAAACTGTTGTACTAAATATTTGTGAAACGAAAAGAAGCATTCTTGCTGTAAATACGTTTCAGGGCTCAACAATAAGGATTGTGTGATTTCCTGGGGCAAGTGAAATTCCACCTCGGGCTAGTAACTAACATCTCAGTTGCCTGATTGCACAAGTGGTAAAAAATAAATTAAACAGCTTCCCTCTCATCTCTGTTGAGATTTGCACATGTGCAGTACCATTCAGGCATTTTCGAAAAAATAGAGGCAAGTAAAGACAAAGTTTATGAGCTGAAGCACAAGCAAGGATTTGAATGGGTGGCATTTGAGGATGCGGGTGAAAGATTAAACATGCCAATTAGCTTTCGTCTTTGTTGTTATTTGATAACCACTAATAAATCAACGTACCAGTGTTGTATAGAGGCAAGAAAAAAGTTCAGGCACTGAAGGCAATTTTTGCATGTACAGAGACAACTGAGGCTCAGTGTGAAAAATATTTAAATAGTACAAATATTACCTCCTGGAGTGGCCAGTAGCACAGCAAAAGTTGTGGCAAGTAACTATAACAAAGGGATAATGATAGTTAAATACAATCACCATTTAAATGCACATTATTTGTTGTAAGTGCAATATCTTTACAGTAATCTAATTTGGCACAGACTTTATGGCGTTTCATATCTCAGATTTGTTTTGGGGTGACTGAAAATGAAATTGTCATTCAGTAATCTAGCATTTTCTGCAAGTTGCTAAGATTACTTTTTGGTGATTTTTTTTACTTTCAACATGCTGCACAATGTAGATGAACCTGAAAACATTAATTTTTTTTTTTTCTTTTTTTAATTAATTTTTTTATTTAACAAGACAGAAGTACATACATCAAACAACAGCAGCCACAACACAAAAAAAAAAAAAACAAACAAATCAAAAACAACTCAGACATCTGCGATAATCAAAAGATTATCTCCATATAAATACAAATGATGCTGCTCTATATTATGGTAGTGGACGTGTACACATGCAAATACGCACAAAACACAACAAAGACAACTTAACAAACAGCACCCGACGAACAGCCAGACAATTATCTCCTTTCCCATTTACGACAACAGCCTATCAAGTAAGGAACATAGCAATGAGCAAAGAATATACTTATATACCGTATAGATAAAGAAAGAAAGAAAGAAAAAGAAAGAAAGAAAGAAAGAAAGAGAAAAAACCCCCAAAAAACTCTCAAAGTAGGGCAGGGGCAAAAGCTAACCTGCCAAAGAGTTGAGGTGTTTGATAATGGGCCCCCAGATACACTCAGACTCAACAGATGATATACTTTTGTTGCTACAAAGCCTCTCAAGATACATCCCTGAGACCATTTCCCTGAGCCATCTAGAGAAGCTAGGAGGGTCAGAAGCCTTCCAATCATTAAGAATTAACCTTTTTGCCACCAAAGTGCCAAATCTGATGGTCTCCTGTATAGAGCATGGAAGTGAGAAAAGGGCTTCGGAGCAACCAAACAAAACAAAAACTATGTCTGGTTCCAGCCGTACATCATAAACTTTACAATACCATGAAAAAATTTGTTGCCAGAAAGGAACAATCTTAGCGCAGAACCAAAACATATGACCCAGAGTCCCTATTTCTTGGTTGCACCTATCACAGATATTAGAAACGTCAGGATACATTTTGCTCAACTTTTCTTTGGAGAAATGTAATCTATGCATAATTTTATATTGAATCAGCTGCAACCTGGCATTGATTGAACCTGAGTGAATCCTTTCCATCCCCTCCCTCCACACCTCATCGGACAGCTCCACACCAAGATGATGTGGTTTGTTGACACTACTGACAATTTAGAAAACAGTGTTACAAATTTTGAGACAAGGTGGATCGATCCCGGATTTTGTTTCATTATAGCAAAAAAGGAGTGCTCCATGCTAGGATTTACATAGTTGTTTAAATTTTCTTTAACAAAATGCCTAACTTGTAAATAACGAAAAAAATGGGCTTGAGAAAGGGAAAAGCTCTTTTTCAGCTCATTAAAGGAAGCTAAATGATTATTAAAGTACAAGTCTGAAAAGGTAACCAGGCCCCTATCTTTCCAAAATGCAAAAGCTTGATCAGACTGAGCTGGAACAAAACTGTGATTGAAACAAATAGGAGAATATATAGAAAATTCAGGAAATTGAAGAACCTTCCTAATTTGTTTTAAAATTTTAATAGAATTTTGCAGAACAAAACTATCCTCAGCTAGATGCAAAGGATAATCTATCGTGCAAAACAGAAGAGCTGAAAGGGAACTTTCTTGCAGCATGCGATTCCAATTGTACCCACTTGGGTGTGTCACTGAGCTCACTACGTTGAGGGAGCTGATCCTGCCAAAAAATGAAAGCTCTGGCATTGGTTGCTCAATAATAATGTCTGAAACTTGGAAGGGCAAAACCCCCATGTTTCTTGGGCTTTTGTAGGTGGGCCTTCGAAATACGATGGGTTTTATATCCCCATATAAAGGCATAATTATAGAATCGAGTTTTTTAAAGAATGACAACGGAAGAAGAATAGGAATATTTTGAAACAGATACATAAACCTAGGGAGCGACACCATTTTAATTGCATTAACCCGCCCTATAAGAGAAAGTGGCAAAGACCTCCAATAATCAATATTTCTCTTAAGCTTGTCTAGCTGGACATCGAAGTTGTTCTTAAATAAATGATTGGAGTTTACAGGTATAGACAAGCCTAAGTAAGAAATCTGGTCTTTGGCAATTTGAAAGGGCAGGGATTTGAGAAAAAGGGGATCCAAATTTGTAGTAAGAGGCGTAAAATCTACCAGACACAAAGCCATTTTGATCGGGATGAACTAGAGATGCAATATGCTTACTTAACCTAGTAGCCAACATCTTTGCTACCACTTTCTGATCGGAATTTAACAGACTGAGAGGTCTATAGGACAAAGGGTCAGAGCCGTCTCTCCCTTTCTTAAGTAGAAGACAAATGTAAATAATAAAACGATTGTGGAAATAAATGGCTAGCAATAGAGTGTTGAATCATTCTATGTAACAATGGGGCAACAAAATCAGTGAAGGATTTAAAAAACTCTACGCTAAACCCATCTGGGCCTGCAGCCTTACCGCTAGGAAATGATTTTATTGCATCACAGATTTCATTGACAGTAAAGTTAGAATCCAAACATTAATTTGACAAAATCACAAGAATATTATGGCAAAGGGTCAGACATCAGCCTGATGTGCTCAGCTGTCTCCAGACCTCCTGCCCTGTTTGACTGGTTTCTGAATGGGGACCTGCTGTCTGATACTGGACCTGATGAACATTTAGATGAGTCAGAGTGGGAACTACAGTTGTTAGGCCTTTAACAACAAAACTCTGAGATATGAAACATCTCAGCGGTCAGTTGTCTCTGTACTGGGTAAGTTAGAACGAAGAGGTTTAGTGGATATAGTAGTGATATTTCTCAGAAAGATGGCACATGCATAATTTGTACTGACAACGTGTGTATTCTAATCAGTGCAACTGGCAAATATAGCCAATACAGAAGCTGAACCCATTACTTAAAGAAGCTAACAGCTCAAATACATTGATAGAAAAGCTGAAAGGTAGCTCTGTGTTCCTACAAAACACCTTTCACTTTGCAGGATTCTAATTAAATCAATGTTTAGAAAAATCTAAACATGATATTGACACCAGTTGCCCAAAGAGAGTGATATGTTTCTAAATATTTAATATTTAAAAAAAAAAAGTGAACCCAAAGCAACGCCTGAGCGGCGTGCATTTGGTGTGACGTGCTTGTTTTTTCGTCTGGTGCACAGCTCCATGGACCTGCTTCTCTAGAAACAACATGGCGAACTCTGTGAAAAAGGACCCGCTCTGTTTATAGATAGGCTTACTTGCAAGTATTTATAAGCCAATGAAAACTTTATTTTTTTCTGTGATTAAGCGAACAATGAAATCTTGCCGACTAATGAACTTTCTGGTTGGCTAACTATTAGGTCGACTATTAGGGGGAAGCCCCAGTTGCAAGTGATCTGCAAACTTTTAAATATGAAATTCTTTTTCTACTGTATACTATTGGTCAGTCTGTGATCAGGTTTATTCCGACTGATTTAAAGAGGCTTCCTCCCCCCATTCACCAGACTCCTGTGTTTACCACAGTTCTCAATGTCAGACTTTGAACCAGGAAGAAGAATTTCAGTTCAGACAGGATATTAATCAGATATGTTTTCAACTGATATGATACAGCTGTAAAAGTAATCCAATGTTTTTCCCCCTCACTTTTTCTTTTCTAGGAGCTCCATCATTTAGAGGTCAGGTTTGACAAGAACAAAGGTAGTGGGACTGTCCAGCCTGGGCCACAGAATGACACATCAGAATATGTCAAGCTCCAAGTGAACAACAGTCGTCCTAAAGCGTCCTCACCTACTTCCTATGACAACCACCAGGCGCAACAGAAGGGAACAGCTCCTCAGCCTCCTAATGCCACACAAGTTGACTCAAGTTCGCAAGAAAGCAACCGCACTGGATCTGAAGGATCCTTATAGGGGACTATTTTGGACTTGAGTTTATTTAGTCAAAGCACTTAATCAACAGCAGTTAATAATCAACCAGTATGTGACAGTTATTGCTGTGACTGAGGTCACACAGCACAATGCTGACCTATTTGCTTTCATTCACATATAACAGCTTTATTTGTCTGTGCACAGTTAATGCAAAGTGCACATTACATGTGAGTGAAAATTTTCTCTTTATGTGATTCACTTGTTTGCATGAGCATAATGTTTGACACAGATGTGGTGTCATGTTTGACTCCTCGTGTGTACTGTGTGATGCAATTATGGATTTATGTTTTGCATCATACAAAATGAAAAATATTGGTTATTTAATTATATTTAATTCACCTTTCACTGGTGTTTATCAGGACATGGATATACTTTGAGCTTGTTTTTTGGCCAGTACAATGGTGAACTGCAATGGCCTAGCAGTAATGGAAAGATTAATGTTATCAGTTGGTCCAAAGGAGCAGTTTAAAGAGCAATACAGATTCATATCTTAATAATTAAATTCCACCATGATAAAGTTAAACTCTATTAAAACACAAAGGGGAGGTCTGCTGCCACAATATCCAAAACGCTAGCATGCAAAAATAAGCATAACAATGGGTCTCTCTGTAGTTCCACTTAAATCATAGAGAAAACCAGAGGTGTGGACTCAACTCACATGACTTAGACTCGAGGTAGACTCCACTCACAAATTTGTTGACTTTAGACTTGACAGAATCAAAAAAGGCTTGCAACACAACTTGGACTTTAATTGCATTGACTTGTCACTTCGCCTGAACTTGAGCCTTTTGACTTGGAAATACTTGACCCCCCCCCCCCCCCCCCCCCCCCCCCCGAGCCCAAAGATTAGAAGGCTATTTAAAATGTGCCACAAATCAATTCATTTGCTGAAATCAGCTAATGTTAAAATTATTCATTCTCAACAAGCCAACATGCAGTTCCTCAGAGGATTCTCTTTGTAACACCCAAAGAGGAAATAAGAAAAGCACATTTTAATGTAACAAATCATGAATTCAAAAGAACATACGTGGAGAAACTAAAAAAGTTAATCTAGAAATAAAATCCATGAAGGGGGAGGAAGCAAAATTACAAACATTACCCCTAATTGTCACTGCATTTCAATTACTGCAATAAATTCAAAGTTCAAGGTGAATAAATATGTTGCCATGCCAACCTGACATCATCACAGCAACACAATCTACTCAAATAACAAAGCACTAAGATTATAGGAAGGTGTGAATGAGCGAAAGCAGTAAATTAAGGTAGTTTTTCTTTTGTGATCTAAAATCTCAATAAATGACAATATTTTCTGACAGAAAACACACCAACATTTTATGGTTTACTATTGTCCTGGCTCCGCCTGTTTGAACAGTGACAGTATTACCTTGGGAATCACAAATGATGATGAACTTTGAATGTAATAAAAACTTTTAAATACTCTAAGACATGTTGTGAAAACATCAATAATAATATTTCCTCTCAGTTCCTCTCCCATGTAACAAGATTCAAATGTCACATCCCTGAAGCAAAACAGTATCAGACTGTTCAGTGATCACAGTAGAAAAAACACATTGTTTCCGTTTCAGGAGCTGAATAGATGCTACCCTGTGAAGCTGCTTTAATAATTACATGAACACCTATTTACAGCTAGGCCTGCCGAGAAACTGTTGTAGTAATAAAATAATTCAGGTCATTTACTGTAGTCAGTACAAAGGCCAGGTCAAAAAGAGGCGGGGACGTCAGGGAACTACAAACTCATGTGAGACAGTGCCATCTAGTGTTCTGTGTTATTCAGTGCTCTAATGAAGCTGCAATTGTGCACAACTGTTTTTATTCGTCTTGTCACTGTTTCTTCCTAATTTAGACTAATTCATAGATAAAAAAGAACAGTCACATTCCCCTACAACTAACAAAAGTCACAAAGCTAACTTGTGCTGGAAGTTGAAAACAAAAAAAATAATGAAATGAAAATAAAGACTTAATAGATATTACTCCTGTAATTTGTATGCAAAATTGGTCTGTCCAACCAGCAGACAGAAAATTCCACCCGCAGAAACATTGCAAAAGTAGCCCAGTTGCCCAGGGAAACTGTGGACCTTGCAACCCTGACTCAGAACACAAAAGATTCTGCAGCAGACAGTGCAGTCAACAAGTCTTCAACAAGTTGATTTATTCAAGGGCTGTAACAGACTCAAAATGATGCTAGTTGAATTAGATGTGGCTGTTTAATACGAGTATGTGACTATTTTTTTTCCTCAGCTGAACAACAGTAGCTGGCATTTTGTCAGCTAGGAAATTAAAGGCATTGGTAGACACATGACCTTTTTAAAGTAACACCAGTGATTGATCAACTAATGAAAATGTGGTCGGACAAAAGCATAAAGACCAAACAGTTGACCAAACGAACTTTACAGCCCTGGTTGTCACATTGAGAATGGTTGCTCACTCTCACCCTTCTGTCCATTCATAGTTATCAACACGGATCCCATTTGCTATGACTTGATTAGAATTAAATGAATGCATTAAAAGCACTTTGTTTGTTTCTATGAACAGCCAAATGGTGTGTTGCTTTAAATGCTGCTGCCCTAAGGAACCATGGGACACCTTTTTTTTGTAAAGGATGAAGAAGACAAGAAAGGAAGCAAAGAAGCACCTTGCCTTAGCATTTAGGAAATTTGACCAGCTCTTATCATGGCTGCCACTTAGATACTTCCAGGTCATGTAATTCACTAAGGAACCTTACTAAGCAAAAAACACTATTCAACCACAGCCCCAGTCTTACACTGTATATGGAATGATGTTGTCATATTGTTGTGGATATTTAAATGCCATACACTGAGTTTATGCACAGCTCCTATTCTCTCACACATTCACACACTAGTGGGCGACCCTACCATACAAGGTTCCACTGGCTACTCCATCAACATATTTACATTTATAAGGTTTAAACACCATAACACACAATTTAAGATTCGATATCTTGCCCAAGGACACTTCGACGTACGGACTGGAGGAGTTGGGGATGTTTTACCTAAATGCAACATATGAATTCATCCCCATTAATTTGGGTAAAAACATTATTGTAGACTCAAAGAAATGATGTTAATAATATTTTCATAAATGTTTTTATTGATAAAGGGCTGTATACAAGTGGCCCTGAGGGTCAAAACACAACAACATTTCAGAAAACAAAACAGCATTTCACAAAACTAAACAATATTTCAAAAAACAAAACAACATTCCAGAAAACAGAACAGCATTTCAGAGAGCTAAACAACATTTCCCAAACATGTCAACATTTCATAAACAAAACATTTTAGAAAACAAAACAACATTTTGGAAAGTGGAGTAAAGTGGAGTGTTGACTTTTAATTTTGGAAATGTATGTAGCAGCAGGCAGCTCTGCAGCAGTGCCGCGGCAGCAGCGCTGTCTGTGTGAACACTGCACTTGTGTGAGCTGCAGCAGCTCAGCAAGGTAGCTGTCAGGTGCTGCTCACACAGGCAGTGTGGCCTGGACATTAGTAATACAAAAAAACTAAACAAGTGTGCGAAAATCTCTTCAAGCTGCCTTATCTTAGTTTCAAATATTTTATATATAAACAATTGATTAAATTATGAATGTAAAATGCATCATAATGACAAAACCCACAGAAACCCAACTTTGCCTCTTTGTTTTGAGCTGAAAGGCGAGTGAATATTGGACTTGAACAAGTTGCCAGACACAGTAGCAGAAATGTCACTTTTGCTCCGCAATGGATGTGTAAATAGGAAATTGTTTGCTAACACATTAGCGATAAAAACAAGCACATTTCATATGTAGAGTGGTAATTCAGTTACTGTTAAATGGCACCGCACTGTCTAACCTGAAATTTAGGGTTCAGACCTAGAGTTGTCTTGCTTTGGTCTGAATCAGGGACTAATTTTCTTACACAGTTGCATAATTACCTAGAGTTGGTTCATATTCTCACTGCAGCATTTACAAGCAGACCAGAAGAAATGCCTGTGTGAGAAAGCTGCTCTTGATTGGTCAGAATTTCCATGTGGGAAAAATCCAGGAAATAAAAAAAAACGTTGAAGAAGAGTACACTTGCAAGATAAATGTGACACTTTCTAATGTCACAATGGAGGGACAACTACGCAGGTTGATTTTAGCGCTGGTCATCGTAGACTATATTGCTGTCATTGTTCATTTTAGTCAAACCATACAGTTTGAAAACAAGGCGCGGCTCCAACTAGAAAACAATGTTTTCATGCAGCATACAGACCAAAACAATACAAAAATATCTATAAAAGCTTAATTTATCACAACAAACTAGAAACACTAGAGGCTTTTTTATTTGTGATGTCACACATTAATTCATGTTTATGTTTGGCCTAATCTAAATTGCCCAGCCAAACATCCCCTGTACACTTACCTCCATGTTGCTTGAGGTATCACCAATACCACAGCAGTATGTCAGTACAAACACATTTACACCACTGGAGGATGATGTCTTGCAGCTTTAGGGTATGACTGCATCTTCAGTGGGTTTATCTCATTACGCAACGTAGTCACTCATAAAATTAGAGCTGCCGGACGCTCACATTTATTTGGACATGTATGAGATGAATAATCCCCATTATTTGTGATCTTCACTGTTAATATTACCAGATACAGCTGCACTGCGTACTGGCTTCCATAGCTGTTTTTCAGAAGTGGAACACTTTGCCTGCCCGATTTTGATGACTTTTCCTTAAAATTTGTGCTTCTACCATAAGTAGGTCAGTCGGCATTTAAATTTTGTCGATTTCATTCGTATTTATTGTTGTTACAGTATGTCCTGCATTGTTGTGCTGTAGTCTACAGACAAAATTAATAGTTATAGTTATTAAAAGTAAATTCATCCTCATAACTGTATTATTGGCCTATCTATATTTCACATACAGTGCATGTTAGCAGGAGAACTATCTAACTCAGCTTCATCAAAATAAGACGTGTATTTCTTGGATGCCTCTAAAATGTGTTGTGTGGCATCTGCTGGAATTACAAGAGTTTTAAAGTAAGGTTAGTGTTAAAAGTCAGTCAGCCATTAATCTCTCAAGACAGATTCTGCATTCTACATTGTAGAATCTGTTGGCAGCCCTGTGTGAAAGACGACTTGAGAGGGAGGGAGGGCGGGGCTTTGAGTCTGAATGATGCTGCGCTTTAGCCAATCACAATGGAGGGGGCGCGGCCGAGACATACAGGTGTCCCCAGGAAATGTGTACCTACAGAAACAGCAAGCTCTGCGTCCATTGCACGTCCATAGCGACCGCTCCAGTGATGCCGTCTCGTTAACGTGAAAAAAAATATTTTTTCCAGCAGATGTCTGAGTTACAACATGATTGAGCTAACTGGAGTAGTTTCATGTCGTATCCGGCAACGGGAGGCTTTTAACAGATGACGTCCTGATGTTAGCTTTGCTAACTGTCCCTGTCAGCTGCAGCCACTGATGCTTTCTAGACATCGTGATTTCCCATAACTGAATAAATACCACACATAGCAACACAAAACGGCTTTGCTAGCTCAATCATGTTGTAACTAAGATATCCGCTGGAAAAAATATTTTATTCACGGACCGTTTATTGAGTTATTACCTTATTTTTATACAGGCTATGGTTATAGACAACGCTAATGGCTAACGTTAACAGCTAACAGTTAGCCCAGCTAATCTACGATAACCATATTAATTACGTGCACACCGAAATAGTAACGTTTGTTCAGTCATTGTGTTTATAGACTTAACAAACATCAGATTAGTCTACACGGTGATATAGTGACGTGAAAAATGTGATATATAGCTAAACTCTGCTGGTTTTCTACCCAAAGTATTTGTAAACAACACAGCGATTTCCTGGGGGCACCACCGGAAGTTAAGGGCGTGAGCGATCACCAAGGCTCCTGCACTTCCGTTAGTCGAAAAACTCCGGGCTGTGCCTCCAGAGGTAAAGAAAGAATTTTTTTTTTTTTTTTTTTAACCGATGGATTTCCAGATTGGTCAGCCATTAATACGTGATTAAAAAAAGGGAGACTTACTTATTTTTATAAATAAAGTATCCTCCAGCAGCTGCTGCATAAACAACCACTAAAACTGAGATAACTATTGCAGCGATGGTGCCAGCTGAAAGACCTCCAGACCTCCCATCTGAAACGAAACAGAACAAAAACAAACATTAGGAATTCGCCCAGCAATATTAGCTTTTTGTAAACTCACAGACACAATCACAAGTGATAAAATAAGTTTTTATCATGGTGAATGCAAATATTTCTATGTACATGCAGTACCACCACAACCACATGATTATATGCAGTAGATGACATAAGTGTTAGAGGAATAGTCAAGCATAATTAATAGTCCTGGCCCTGACTAATAAAAGTTCAGTGATTTGCTAATGTAATACAGGCAAAAAGCTTTAACAAGGACAAGAGATGATAACAATTATGACGATTGATTAATTGGTCGTTAAGAATTTGATCGGATGTTTGAAATGTAACTGATAAATTGTTAGCGTATGCAATATGTTTCTGTGAGCTTTGATTGTAGAAATAACACATTTGGTGTTTGGCACGAGCAAAGTTTTTATGTTTTTTTTTGAAAATCATGATTACTCTATTAGTTGATCATTATTTTTACCAATAATCAATTGAGGAAAAGGACATATCTCTGGTTCTGCTGCATTAATTTTTGATACTTTCCGTCATGAGTCTGTAAAGTGTAGAACTGCAATGCTAAACTTTGGAAGAGTATTTTTAAGGGCAGCTAATTAGAGTTTTGCATTTCTAGCCACTGTTGTCTCATAAGCTTAAAATAAATCTGTAACATATAGTTGAAGCAATGGATCTGCAAGAAACCTTCAGATTATCAGAGTTATAACACAGTGGGTTGATCATAATATTCAAGTATCAACAAAATGTGCAATCAGCACCATCCTGGTACCTGTTACAGACAGTTCATGGTCTGCAGACAGTTTTCTTCCAGTTACGTCATTCATCGCTTCGCAGGTGTAGATGCCACTGTCAGAATGTTGAATGTTGTCTTTAGTGAACACAGCAGAATTGTGTATCTCTGTCCCATTCAGTATCCAGGTGTAAGTGGCAAGTGGTCTGGACTCAGCAGAGCAGGTTAAAGTCAAGTTCTCATTCAGATGTATCTGACTTGGACCTGTGATTTGAACATTTTCTGGTCCATCTGAAAAACAGATATTTGTAAAGTTCTCACAGCAGCACAAATGATAAGATTATAAAATTAAACTAAACTGCTGTTTTACAGACCTACAATAAAAATATTTCAGTACAACAGTGTTATTTATGTCACTCATCATTTTGAGCACTAAAAGTACAGTTAGTCACCTACAGTTGACCTCCATGGAGTATTTAGCTTCATCGCTGCTGACGGGATTGCTGACTGTACAGGAATATTCTCCACTGTCTTTTTTGTTCAGGCTCTTAAAAGACAGCACTCTGTTCTCATCGTAAAGTATTATGTTCTCAGACACGCTCAGATCTGAGCCACCCTTCCTCCACTTTCTGGTAAAGACAGAGCCAGCAGCGTCACAGGTTAAGTTGACTGAGTTTCCTTCAATCAACACGTTTGTTGACGGCTTAACTGAAGCACCTGATATTATCTCTGTTGGGCAAAAGATCAAGAAAAATAGGAGAACAGGAACAAATGTAATTGTTACTGAAGGATAACGGAAAAAATAAGTGTCCCCTTGGGGATTAATAAAGTATTTCTTCTTCTTCCTCTGCTTGCTCAGAACTACTTCACTATTAGTTTGACACTTATTAACCCACAGGTTCCCTATTCTAAAGTTGCCTCCTCTTCACACTTACTAAATTCATTATAGCACATCACTATGGCAACTAATATCTCCTTTATTAATGGACCAATTGGGCAAAAGATCAGGACAAATATGAGAACAGGAACAAAAGTAGTGAAGCTGCTGGGGCTTGAATTCAGAACAGTTCATCTTTGTAAGAGGCAAACATAGCCTCTAAGTTGTTCCTGTAGAAGCAAAATTTGCAAACAAATCTTGAGTGCACATTTATGTAATTTTATTCACTTAAGTATTGTTTCATTTTGTTCACAAATGTTTATATAATAAAGTTTTTTAACTAACTTTTCACAAAACCTATTATTCAAACTCACTCAGTACAGAGATGGTGGCAGGTGGAGATGATTCATATCTCAGAGTTTTGCTGTTAAAGGCCTGACAGCTGTAGTTCCCACTTTGACTCATCTGAATGTTCATCAGTCTGAGCTCTGGTCCAGTATCAGACAGCAGGACTCCATTCAGAAGCCACTTAAATTGGGCATCAGGTTTGGAGTCAGCTGAGCACATCAGGGTGATGTTTGACCCTTCTGCATGGTATTCTTGTGACGGAGACATTGTCAAATTAACATTGTCTGGGCCGTCTGATTGTAGGGATAAAATGACAGCAAAAAAGGTCAACAAAATGTAAGGAAAAATAAAAATGACTCATTATGAGGCATTATAGCTGATTACAATGCACAATGGATGTCGTCATCGAAAAAAAGGAATAACCCTAATCTTAACCCAGTAAACACTTTCTAAGCAAAACTGTTGAAGGTGATAAAGTGCTGTAGTTAGTACTGGAGTCAAGTTAAAAAAATTCATTTCTAGTATGTAGTGCAACCAGTTAGGGAAGGAAAAGACCACAAAAGAAAGAAAAGACAAGGCCACTCCTCACTAAGCTGTGATAATAATCTAAACTCTTTCACTCTGTTTGCATACAGATGTCGTCAGATAAAGAATGGAACATGTAGATTAGTAACTCACAGCTGATGTTGAAGGTTATTGAATTACTGTCGCCATTACTGACAGGATTGGACACATGACACTTAAATGGTCCCTGGTCGTAGCGGGTCACATTAGCTATAGTGAGGTTGGCGCCTCCATCAGTGAGCTGAACTCTGTCACTGGCTGTAACCTCAGAGCTGCCGTTCAGCCAGAGGAAAGACAGAGAGGCTCCAGAGGAGGAGCAGGACAGACGGACGGAGCTGTTGAACTCCACCAAGTCTGTGCTGCTGGCTGTTGCTATTACATTGGAAATTGGCACTGTGGGTGAAAAACAAATTATTTTATATTTGCCACCACATGACAGAGGTACAGTGGTGACTGACACTGCTGTGGCTGAGAATGAATCTGTTTATCATGAGATGTTGAAGATTTTCTAACTTATCAATGAGAATCAAAAAGGCTATTTGGGGCTTTTAGAAAATGTGTTCCACATTAGAAGGTAATGTCCAATTGACCACCATCAAAAGTATGACAAAGTTAAATTAGTGCCTCTCTGATACGGTCTTAACAAGAGCTAAAGTAATACAGTCTATACAGGTGTGTCAAAAGAAAAACTCATATTGTTCGCATATTGTTCATCATCATCAGAGGCCATGTGAAATTATTCATATCTCAGTTATGATGCAGTTATTGCAAGACTTGGAGGCTTTAAAAAAATTTCATGATGAGAAACCATCTGAAAATTTACATAGTGAAGCCATTTAAGCATGAAATATTATTTTTGACCTTGGAAATAGTAATTTGAGAAAAAAAGAAACGTTAATTTAAGGTACACTTACTAACTTTTTCCAAGCTTCAACCACATCTCAGATTTTTGTAGTGCTTGTTTTTTCTAATTTATATAATAATAATAATGATAATAATAATAATATGAACATGAATAAAACGAATGTTGGTCTTATATAATACCACTGAACACCTCAACACAATTATTTGAACTGAAACAATGTCTATTTCTTGTTCAGTTGCTCGGCATAATCTCCATTCAGCACTGAAATAGATACATGTGAAATGTTGTTTCACCATATACGTTCAGTCTTGTATCACCTGTCTTCTGTGGCTCTCCAGATGGAGAAATGTTAACTCTGTATACCCCACTGTCATGTAGAGACACATTTCTGAGCTCCAGAGATCCAGTAGACATGAAGAGGGTGATCCTGTCTTCATACTCTGGTGCAGTGAAGTTTGCACCAGTGAAAGTGATTATAGGTTTTCCATCAAATGTCCAGCCCAGTGTTAGAAATGGTTTCTCTGGTGGAGTCAGTGATGTGGTGAACATCACCGTCTCTCCCACAGCTGCATTCAGAACCTCAGGCAACACACCAGCTCCTTTGGTTAAACCTGGAGGGGACAGTTAGGCAGATCTGAGAGAGACTATAATGAGGACACTGCAAAATAGGCCACTGTGATGATGTGCTGAAATCAAGGCAAGGTAAAGTCTTGATGTAGAAACTGCTCAAAACACAAAACTGCAGTCGACAAAAAAAACAAAACAAAACAAAAAACATCAGTTGTGTAATTCTCAAAGCACCCACATGTTGGTGCTCCTGATCCATTTGCATGTGTTTAAATGGAGTAATCTGCGAAAATCAGCGCTAACAGCCACACACACTTAAAATAACATTATTAGTGTCTTCAGAGAGTTGGTGATAACTGATGCACATTAATTAGGGTCTCAGACTTCCCAGTTATCACAGCAGCAGTGACGCAGCCAGGCAGAAGCCTTGTCTTGCCAGGCAGGCGTGCTATAGTCAGCGGATATTTCGATGGACCTGCAGCTCATGGTCTGAAAATTTCAGTTTTTGTTTTGCAGATACTATTAGCAGCCAGGTGTCTGTAGTCAACAATGCGATTTACACCTGGGGTTTAAAGCTATAGTGCGTAACTTCTGTCGCCTCCCAGCGGATAATGCGTTATTACAACTAATAAGCTGGCGGCACTTCCATGTACACAGAGTAACACTCGCCACACACTGTGTACACAGAGTAACACTTGCCTTTGTGGTAGGATCCACTTCTGAACCGTGTCTCGGCCGCTTCTCCGCCATGTTGCTTTCTCTTTCTACCAGCACTCTACCTCTTGCTATGACACTCTCCGCTCTTCCTCCCCCTCCCTTCTTGTTGTGAGGAAGCATTTCCTGTGTGCCAGCGCGGGAATGTCGCCGGTCGACACGCATACTAAAAATGATATATATTGAAAAATACCGAATATACCCGAGAAAATACCCGAGATGTTAAAGGAGCCAATCGGCTAAATCAGCATTGTTTCATCTCCTCTAGTAGTGGCTTGGGTGAAACGGACATTCGCGGACCTGTAGAAGTTACGCACTATAGCTTTAAATAGTCAATGTGGCAATTTTTTACACTCAGGTGTACAGTATATTCCTGGTCGTCCCAGCAATGTCAAAATATGACGTTAACAAGAACAGGTCTAAGGTGTTAAAGTTAATGCACAGTGCACACAGTGTGATCCATAATAACGAATTTCAGATATTGGTGTAAATCATAAATGTACACCAATCAGCCAAAACATTAAAACCACTGACAGGTGAGGTGAATAACTTTGATTATTCTATTCCAATGCATTGTTCTGATGGAAAACCTTTGGTTTTGGGTCATGGCAACAGTACTTCCCAATGGCAGTGGCCCCCCAGCAGGATAATACACCATGCCACACTGCAAACATCGCTCAGAAATGGCCAAAGGAATGTGACAAAGAACTCAAAGTGTCAACCTGGCCTCCAAATTCCCCAGATCCCGATCTGAATGAGCATTTGTGGCATGTGCCATTAACCCACCACACAACCCACTGGACTAAATGCATCTGCCGCCAACGCACTGGTGCCACACACCGCAGGACACTTCCAGAGATCCTGTGTCCATGCCTCAACAGGTCAGAGCCAAGTCCGATCCAAGGAGGCCGCACCTTGGATTAGAGGTACATCTGGAGTACCTGCACATCATAGTATCCTTGAGCAGACTGGGACCTGGGAAATTTGGAAGCCAGGTCGACACCTTGAGCTTTTTGTCATGCCCCCACAGGCCATTTCTAAACACTTTCTGCAGTGTGGCATGGTGCATTATCCTGCTGGGGGGCCACTGCCATTGGGGAGTACTGTTGCCATGAGGGGGGGTACTTTGTCTGCAACGGTGTTTGACTGGGTGGAACATGTCAGGTGGTATCCACATGAATGCCACAACCAAAGGTTTCCCAGTAGAATAATACCCTGGAACAAAAATAATCAAAGTTGTTCACTTCACCTGTCAGTGGTTTTAATCTTTTGGCTGATCGGTGTATAATGATAAGGGAAAACTGCAGTGTGACTACTCTCACCTGGGTGCAGATAGACACCATGTTCTTATTCCCTGTCTGCCGTGGTTCTGCGTTCTGTGTTCTTGGCGCAAAAGCAACATTTATTGAAACAGGTGCACATTTCAGTACTCACCACTGTGACTTATACAACCTAGTAGACTGGACATCCCTCCACACCAGACAACTCAGCCATTGGCTTCAGCTCATTTACAAAACCATACTTGGTATGACACCTCCCTACCTCTCCTCCCTCCTGCACCTCTCCCACTCTGCCCTCAATTTAAGGTCCAGTAAACTCATTAAACTCTCCATCCCCAAAGCCCGCACAGTCTTTGGACGCAACACTTTCCGCTTTGCTGCAGCTAATGACTGGAACACCATTCAAAACACCCTCAAACTTACCGTCCTCACATCACTCACAGTCTTTAAACAAAATTTGCAACAAATTATAGTTGACTCTTGCAACTGTTGAGTAGGCCTACTTGTCATGTTTGAACTGTTTTTCACCTTTATTGTATTGTATTTATTAATTGTTTATTAATTGTTTATTGTGTATTTTATATAACTTTATTTTTTATTTTTAGCATCCACTCCCCCTCTCCCTCCAGAGAGCATTTGCTCTTTGGTTCAGGCTGCATTTGTAAATAAGAATTTGTTCTTAATTGCTTGCCTGGGTAAATAAAGGTTAAATAAAAATAAAAAAAAAAAATTATTCTTTGCTTCATGGATAATTGCGATCAGACACCAAAAAAAGGGCAAATTGCACTCACCTGCAAAACTTTATGGGCATGTTTGCACTGTCATATCATTAGTGCGATATCTTTTGCTAATCTGACCTTTAGACTGAGCAAAAGACTGTCGAAATAATGGACGTAGCTTCTGTGATGTCACCTGTTTGAAGCCTTGGGTTCGGCATTTTGGCCGTCACCATCTTGTTTTTGTTGGAGCCAGAAGAGACCATATTTGGACGTTATTATTTTTATAACGTCCAAATATGGTCTCTTCTTCTTCATCCCCCTACAGTTGTCATGAAGGAGGAAATTGGCTTTAGAGACCAAAACCGTTTATTGCACCATGCTGTGAACACGTTTATTTCTGCTGTAAAGCTGGCCATTTTAACATAAGGGGATTCACTGTTTTGGATCCAGCTTCAAGTCACTTTTCGATGAACTGCAGTTTTTGCCATTTTCACATTGGCTTCATTTTTCAGCCTTGGAGATTGTTGACGGGGCAGATTTAGCACCAGTGAAAAGCTCATACCATCCAATGTGAAAAAATCTGAACTACCCATTTGTAGTTATCTCCAAAGCTTTGTTAAGCATCAATCGTTACATTTTGATTAACAAGTAAATACATTAATTTTACCTGCTGTCATTTGTTAAGAGCTCACCTGAGATGGCTCCCAGGATGATGAAGTGTATCACAGTTGTTTCCATTCCTTCTGCAGTCTCATCAGATGTGATGGGAGAAAAGAGGGCTCACAGTCCTTCAATTTGCCTTTGCTTATGTCAGAGGAATGTGTGTTGATTTAGATTTATCAAGGCAGTACAAGGAAGTACTGTGCAGTGCAGGTTTTTTCCATCATCATACCCCTGAAAGGCTCACTCAAAGCCCTGTTTTGCATCCTCAATCATTAACTACGAACGCAACAAGCAACTTTGGATCATCAAGCCCTCAGAATCTTTTAAAACTAATTAAAAAGGAGTTCTATTTTTATTATGTCCAAATAACATCAATCATCACAGTTTGACATGACTAAACATTCAGGGATTTATTCATGAATTAACACAGTAGCCTGTACCGCAGTTGTTAAAGTTACACACTGTGTGTGACAGTAGTTTTATTGTTATACTACAAGCTCTGTGGCAGTATTGTTCTGTTTGTTGGTTGGTTGATCCACCATTTTGGTCCAGACTTGAATATCTCAACAACAGTGTAATGGTTGCTTTGAAATTGAAAGTGTACATTTTTCTCCAGACATTAATGGCACTAAGAGAATAAAAACGTCTGACTCTGGTGATCCCTTTCCATGTAGCGCCACTGTAAGGCAAACATTTTTGATTTTTAGTGAAATATCTCATCAGCCCTTGCCATAAATTTTGGTACAGACAATGAATCCCAAGGACTTTAATGGTTAAATATTCTGACGTCTTTTTGTTGTTGTTGTTACTACTCTTCTTCTTCTTCTTCTTCTTTTTGGTAACTTCAGGGACCCAAAGTCCTCTCCAATACTAAAGTCTCAAATGCAAATTAAAATAAAAAAACAAGCACACAAACCAAAAAAAAAAAAAAAAATCTAATACAGCTGAATCTATCACAAGAAACTAGCAGCTTGTTTATTTATGATTTGACACATTATTTAAACCTTCATTTATCCATGTTTTTATTGATGCATACTGCTCCTTATCATCCAATGAAAAAATTACATACATTTTTTCTAGATGCCCTGTGTATAATTTTATATATTTTTTTATTGTTCTGTGAGAGCAACATTTATGACTGCACAGCATTAGTTTGCCCTGACTGTCCTGTTGGATTTCCAGTTGCTTTTGCTTACAGCCTTTGAGGTTTAATTCAACAACCTATCAGTGAGAATTAACTGATATATTCACAGCAAACTGTCAAATTATATGCACATTATTTTTGCTGCATCATATCACAGGTTAATAAATAAAACTCTGCAGGTAGGTTGTTCGAAACATCTTGGACAACTAACCACAGATTTTCTGAAGATGTAGGCTGCCTCAAATCCATCTGACTTGTCATATAATTCCAGACAGATGCAATAATGTTGAGATCAGGGCTCTGCGGGGGGCATACCATCACTTCCAGGGCTCCTTGTTCTTCTTTAGGCTGAAGATAGTTCCTAATGGCACTGGCTGTATGTTGGGGGTCATTGTCCTGCTGCAGAGTAAATTTGGGGCCAGTCAGACACCTCCTTGATTGTACTGCATAATGGATAAGTATCTGCCTCTATTTCTCAGCACTGAGCACACCATTAATCATGACCAAATTCCCAACTTAATTTGCAGAAATGCAGCCCTAAACTTGCAAGGAACCTCCACCATGCTTCACTGTTGCCTACAGACACTCATTATTGTACCGCTCTCCAGCCCTTCGGCAAACAAACTGCCTTCTGCTACAGCCAAATATTTAAAATTTTGACCCATCAGTCCACAGCACCTGCTGCCATTTTTCTGCAGTTCCACAGTATGGCTTTTTGGCCGCAGTCCTTCCATGAAGACCACATCTGGTCAGATTTTTTCAGACAGTAGATGGGTGTACCTCGGTCCCACTGGTTTCTGCTAGTTCTGAGCCGATGGCACTGCTGGGCAATTTCAGATTTTGTGAGAAAGTAAGACAACTGCGTCTACTGTCCTCAACATCGACCGTGTCTTTGTGCTTCTTCAAAAGAGCTTGAACAGCACATCTTGATACCTCAGTCTGCTTTGAAATCTTTTCCAGGGAGAGACCTTGCTGATGCAGTGTAACTACCTTGTGTCTTGTTGCTGTGCTCAGTCTTGCCATGGTGTACGACCTGTGACATGAATTAGATTAGATTAGATTCGATTCGATTCGATTCGATTCAATTCGATTAGATTAGATATTAATAGATTAAAAAGACATCTGATGGCCAAAAGTGTCATCTACTTCAAACAGTTATGATCGATAATCACCCTAACTTCTTTTGATTGCTTATCTTTTTTTAATAGATAAACAACCTTTGTAACGTATTTTTGAAAAAAATGTCTTCTTGATTTTGAAAAAGTATAATGTCCAAGTGGCCCATTTTGCAATGTTCTTAGCTTACTATTGTCTTTCTCAGATCTGCCTAATTGTCTCCTCCAGGTTTAACCAAAGGAGCTGGTGTGTTGCCCGATGGTCTGAATGCAGCTGTGGGAGAGACAGCGATGTTCAACACAACACTGACTCCACCAGAAAAAAACATTTCTATCAGTGGGCTGGACATTTAATGATCAAATGGGATCATTTTCAGTGGTACAAACTCAACTGCACCAGAGTATGAAGGCCGGATCACCCTCTTCATGTCTGCTGGATCTCTGGAGCTCAGAAATGTGGCTCTAAATGACAGTGGGGAGAGCATCTGGAGAGCAACAGAAGACAGGTGAAATAAGACTGAACGTAGATGGTAGGACAACATTTCAAATGTATCTGTTTCAGTGCTGAATGGAGATTATGCAGAGCAACTGAACAAGAAATAGATATTGTTTCAGTTCAAATAATTGTGTTGAGATGTGGTTTCAAATTACATCTATACTGAGACCAGAATTCAGACAATAACAGTAATAATAATAACGACAACCATTATTATTCTTATTATTATCATCACATTGTAATAACTATATAGTACTAAGCAGAGGTGTGGACTCCAGTCACATGACTTGGACTCGAGTCAGACTTGAGTCACTGATTTAATAACATTAGCCTCGACTTGACAAAATCAAAAAACACCTACAACTCAACTTGGACTTTAACACCAATGACTTGTGATTTCACTTGGAATTGAGCCGTTTGACTTGAAAATACTTGTTACCACATGTCTTGGCAGTTGACCCAGTAGTTCTTCAGTCAGTGGACCAAAGTGGTGACTGAGCAACAGTCTAACTCGAGCTAAAAAGACCTGTTGTTCATTCTCCGTTCTACCTTCAGGAAGAGTTAAAATCACATCACTACCACTTTGCTCAGTATCTTTTATGCACCAGACTGCCACAGCAACTAGTTACACCACAGGAGGGCAGCATACTGCAGCTTTTGACATGATGGTGTTCTGCAGTGAATTTATTCTGGCATTTTGGGACTCAGCACTTTGGTGGTTTCAGTATGAACTTTGACAAGAGTCCTGTAATTACAGCTGCCATGGGACAGCAATCATAAAGAGGACTGTCAAAGTCTGATGATTAGCTTTCACTTGTCCATGAAGTCAGGTCAACAAACAAGATTAAACTTCACAGGCACAACTTCATTAACCATCAACATGTCTTTATTGTTTGTATTTATAGTTTGATGACATGAGAAAAAGTCAAATGTGTCAAATTTAAACCTCATTTCCAAAGTCGCTGGTGTTTCACCATGATATTGCACCACTGTTTAAACTATTGATACATATTTAGTTGCTGTCACATGAGAGAGAAATCATTAGTATTTTGTGGTGCAATTTTCCAAACTGCATATCACCTGCAAGTCTTATTCCAACCCAGTATGTTTCCATGGCTTACAGTTTTTAGTTAGGACACAGTGGGAGAACAGAAGAATAAAAGCAAACATTATACATTGCAAATACACAAAGCACACAAAACACATAACATAATTACAGTAATTTTATTGCATCAATTCATAAATGCCAGGAATAAATGCAAACACATTCACCACTGTTTAGTAACAGGCAGTTGTTTTAACTTGACTGTCTATGTGCAAAAGAGTCAGCATAGCTATTTATAAGTAAAACATTTTCATTTTAACAACACATTAAATGCAAAAGGGCTCAGAGCGTAAAACCTCCAGAGAATTACAGCTTAACTCTGCAGCCCTGTCAAGCTTGTGATTCTATTTTAGCCTTTTCAATCTCATAAACTCAATTTCCAGGAGAAGTTTTTAGCAATAAAACTCTGATAAACCTACTGTAAGCTACCTCCTAAAAGCAGAGTAAATCGGAATTGCATTGACAGAAATGAAATCTTTCTCTGTAATGGATGAGTAAATGACAAATGTTTCCCGATAGAAAAAAAATACATTCATTACAATAAAAAGAATAACATTGACATACATTAGCATATTCTTTTCCTCGGGCTGGTTATGATGTTTCTGTTTTGCTCATTTTCTGATCATATGCTGGACAAGAAGTGAAAAAGAGGGTAAAGTCACTGCTTTGGTCAACCGTATGATGTAATGAGAGGTCAGTAACATAAATCCTACATTTATCCCTGTTAACCAAATCAGATTAGTTTGAAACTCACTTTTAAAGGGGAAGATTTTTGAGTTTATATGTTCTCATACACCACTGAAGTGTTCTCATACATCTGTTCTTCTTTGTCTAGGCCAAAAGAAAAGTATTGTTACATCTTATTATTCATATGTACATTTGCGTAATTGCAGTGTATTCATTCTGTCTATGTTGTTATTTGTGCTTCTACCGTAAGTAAGTAAGTTGGCAGTTAAATTGTGTCTTTCCTTTGTCTGTTTCATTCGTGTTTATTGTTGCTATGTCCTGCATTGTTGTGCTGTAGTCTACAGACCAAGTTAATAGTATTAAAGTCCACTTTTGAACAACATGGATCATAGATTTGTGGCTGTGTTTTAGTTATTAAAAGTAAATTCATCCTCATAATTGTATTATTGGCCTGTCTATATTTCACATACAGTGCATGTTAGCAGGAGGACTCTATCTAATCTATGCATCACACCACAGCTTCAGTGTATTTCTTGGATGTCTCTAAAACATACTGCGCCACATCTGCTGGAATTACAAGAATTGTCTAAAGTAGCTTGGTCCGCTGCTTGCTCACCCAACACAGATCTGCACTCCACTGAATGCACGTTACTAGTTTTTATTTTGTCATTTTCATCCCTTTCATAAAAATTCTACAAAGGTTGGTGTAATTTTTACAGTAAGTCTAATGTGAATGAGTTTCAAAGTAAGGTTAGTGTTAAAAGTTTGTCAGCCTTTAATACATGGTTTAAAAAAGGGAGACTTACTTATTTTTATAAATAAAGTAACCTCCAACAGCTGCTGCAGAAACAACCACTAAAACTGAGATAACTATTCCAGCAATGGCGCCAGGTGAAAGACCTCCAGGCGGCCCATCTGAAACGAAACAGAACAAAAACAAATATTAGTAATTCGCCTCACAATATTAGCTTTTTGTAAACAAACACAATCACAAGTAATATGATGATGAAGATTTCATCATGGTGAATGCAAAATATTTCTATTTATATGCAGTACCACCGCAACCACCTGATTATGTATAGTCTAGTATAATTTATAGCCCTGACTAATAAAAGTTCAGTGATTTGCCAATGTAATCCAGGCAAAAGGGTTTAACAAGCACTAGAGATGATAATTTGGGCCGCCTGTAACCACAATCTCATTCTTTTGGTCACTACTCAGAGCTCATGACCATAGGTGAGGTTGGGATGTAGATCGATCAGTAAATGGAAAGCTTTGCCTTCCGGCTCAGCTCCCTCTTCACCATGACTGACCGGTGCGTCGCCTGCATCTCTTCAGAAGCCACACCAAATCGCCCATCCATCTCACACTCCATTCTACCCTCACTCATGAACAAGACCCCGAGATACTTGAACTCCCTCGCTTGAGGCAGTAACTCTCCCCCAACCCGGAGAGGGCAATCCACCATTTCCGGAAGAAAACCATAGCCTCAGTTTTGGAGGTGCTGACTCTCATCCTTCACACTCAGCTGCAAACTGCCCCAGTGCATGCAGGTGGTCACGGTATCATGATGCCAACAGAACCAAGTCATCTGCAAAAAGCAGAGATGTAATTCTTAGGTCCCCAAACTGGACCCCTTCCTCCCACCTGCTGCGCCTCGAGGTCCTGTCCATGAAAATCCCAAACAGGATTGGTGACAAAGGACAACCCTGGCGGAGGCCAACACCCACCAAGAATGTGTGTGACTTTATCCCAAGTATGCAGATACAGCTCCCACCTTGGTCATACACGGACCGGATGGCTCTAGCATGCGAGCCCTGTACTCTGTACTCCCACAGTACCCCCCACAAGACCTGCCAGGGACGTGGTTGTAAGCCTTCTCCTAGTCAACAAAGCACATGTAGACTGGATCCCCCTCCACGTTTCTCCATTATTGCCTACATGAGCATTGAAGTCCCCCAGAAGAACTGTAGAATCCCCAGCCAGCACCCCTTCCAGGACGCTGCCAAGAGACTCCAAGAATGCCGGGTACTCCGTACTGCTGTTTGGTGCGTACACACAAACGACAGTCAGAGACCCTCTCTTTGCAGTCGCATCAAGACGACGCTCTTCTTCTCTGGGAAGAACCCCAAAACAGCAGCACTCTGCCAGGGGCTTGTGAGTATCCCAACACCCGCCCGGCACCTCTCACCCTGTGCAACTCTGGATTAAGCGAGAGTCCAGCCCCTCACCAGGAGTTTGGTTCCAGAACCAGTGCTGTGCGTGGAGGTGAGCCCAACTTTATCTAGTTGGTAATGCTCCACTTCCCGCACCAGCTCCCACTCCTTCCCCACCAGAGAGGTGATATCCCACCTCCCCAGAGCCAGTCCATGACGCCAGGGATTAGCACGCCCATTGCCCCACTCCTGCCTGCCGCCCAGCACACAATGCACCCGTCCCTGATGCTTATCCCTGCAGGTGGTGGGCCCACAGGGTGGCTGCTCCATGTGACTCATTTGGGCTGAGCCTGACCAGGCCCCATGGCCCAAGGCCCAGCAACCAGACACTCACCGGCAAAATCACGCTTAGTCTATTAATTCATCATTAATTTTACCAATAATCAATCAAGAAAAATGCTCACAATTTGCAATCCTAACAAGGACATATCTCTGGTTCTGCTGCATTCATTTATGATACTTGCCGTTGTGAGTCCGACAGTGTTGAAGTGTAGAACTGCAATGCTGAACTTTGGAACAATCTCTTCCTTTTTTTGCATTTCAAGCCAATGCTACATTTACTATTTACATTTAGTTGATGCAATGGATCTGTAAAAAACATCTTTAGGAACCCTGCTACCCTTCAGATTATCAGAGGTATAACACAGTGGGTTGATCACAATATTCAAGAGTATCAACAAAATCTGCATCAACACTACACTGGTACCTGTTACAGACAGTTCATGGTCTGCAGACAGTTTTCTTCCAGTTACGTCATTCATCCCTTCACAGGTGTAGGTGCGACTGTCAGAGGGTTGAATGCTGTCTTTAGTGAACACAGCAGAATTGTGTATCTTTGTCCCATTCAGTATCCAGGTGTAAGTGGCAGGTGGTCTGGACTCAGCAGAGCAGGTTAAAGTCAAGTTCTCATTCGGATGTATCTCACTTGGACCTGTGATTTGAACATTTTCTGGTCCATCTAAAAAACAGATATTTGTAAAGTTCTCACAGCAGCACAAATGATAAAGAACATAAAATCTTGTTTTACAGAAACCCACAACCAAAACATTTCAGTGTTATTTATAGCACACTGTTAAAACTGGTGAACCAGGAGAGAATGGACTCAAACGCACGACTCAAGAGGCAGTTCAGGTAAGTAAAAAGTCTTTACTGGACAAAATAGGTTAAGGTAAACACAGGGAAATCAGAAGAGGCAAAAGTATCCAAAAAGGGACAAGGCAGAGGCAGAGTCAAAAAACAGGCTAAGTCCAAAAAACCAACAAAGAGGCACAGGGAATCAAAAAGCTGGAACGTCGACACACAAGGAGCTAAGACGAACTGGCACAGAGAGAAAACAAGGCACACACTAAATACTGTGGTGAGGGGAAGGATAACAAGGCACAGGTGAGACTAATCAGGGCGGGACAGACAATCAGACACAGGTGAAGCCATCAAAAGGGAGGGAAAACACACGGGCAGGAAGTGAAGTGATCTGAAATGAGAAGAGATGTGAGTTTCAAAGTAAAACAGGAAACAACATAACTGAATAAAAACAACCTAAGAAACCTGAGCTGTGACACACTCATCATTTTGAGCACTTAATGCACAGTTTGTCACCTACAGTTGACATTCATGAAGTATTTAGCTAGCAGGAATATTCTTCACTGTCTTTTTTGTTCAAGCTCTTAAATGACAGCACTCTGTTCTTGTTGTAAAGTGTTATTATCCAGAAAAACTGAGCATGTAGGTTACTTACAGCTGATTGAGAGGTTTATTGGATCACTGGTGCCATTACTGACAGGATTGGACACATGACACTTAAATGGTCCCTGGTCGTAGTGGGTCACGTTTAATATAGTGAGATTGGCGTCTCCATCAGTGAGCTGAACTCTGTCGCTGGCTGTAACCTCAGAGCTGCCGTTCAGCCAGAGGAAAGACAGAGAGGCTCCAGAGGAGGAGCAGGACAGACAGACGGAGCTGTTGAACTCTACCAAGTCTGTGCTGCTGGCTGTTGCTATTACATTGGAAACTGGTACTGTGGATGAAAAACAAAATGATTTTATATTTGCCACCACATGACAGAGGTACAGTGGTGACAAACACTGCTGTGGCTGAGAATGAATCTGTTTATCATGAGATGTTGAGGATTTTCTAACTTGTCAGTGAGAATCAAAAAGGCTATTTGGGGCTTATAGAAAATGTATTCCACATTAGAAGGTAACTTCAGGCTCTACTTTTTGGTGGTGTTTTTTTTATATATAAATGAGCAATGTAATGTCCAATTTTTGGTGGTGGTTTTTTAAGAATACATTGTCAATGTACTGTAGTCCAATTTAACACCATCAGAAAGTATGACCAAAAAAAGGCAAATTACTGTCTCTCTGATACAGTCTTAACATGAGCTAAATTAATACAGACTATACAGGTGTGTCTAAAGAAAAACTCATATTGCTCATCGTCATCAGAGGCCAAGTGAATTATTATCTCAGTTATGATGGAGTTATTGTAAGACTTGGAGGCTTTAAATTTACATACTGAAGTCAGTGAAGCATGAAAGATGATTTTTGACCTTGGAAAAAGTAATTTGACAAAACGTTTACCTCAGGAACACACTTTTTCACAAGCTTTCAATAAGTGTCTTTTATTAGTTTTATGTAATTATTATATTATGAGATAATAATTCTTATAATAGTGATATAATGATAATATGAAATTTGGTCTGAGTTTTTTGAAACCCCTGAACACCTCAACACAATTACTTAAACTGAAACAATGTCTATTTCTTGTTCAGTTGCTCAGCATAATCTCCATTCAGCACTGAAATAGATACATGTGAAATGTTGTCTCACCATCTACGTTCAGTCTGGTTTCACCTGTCTTCTGTGGCTCTCCAGATGGAAAAATGCTAACTCTGTATACCCCACTGTCATTTAGAGCCACATTTCTGAGCTCCAGAGATCCAGTAGACATGAAGAGGGTGATCCTGCCTTCATACTCTGGTGCAGTTGAGTTTTTACCAGTGAAACTGATTAGATTTTTTTCATCAACTGTCCAGCCCACTGTCAGAAATGGTTTTTTTGGTGGAGTCAGTGTTGTGGTGAACATCACCGTCTCTCCCACAGCTGCATTCAGAACATCAGGCAACACACCAGCTCCTTTGGTTAAACCTGGAGGAGACAGTTAGGCAGGTCTGAGAAGGACCATAATGAGGACACTGCAAAATAGGCCACTGTGATGATGTGCTGAAATCAAGACAAGGTAAAGCCTTGATGTAGAAACTGCTCAAAACCCAAAACTGCAGTTGACAAAAAAACAAACAAAAAAAACCCAAAACACATTTTTTTCTGAAGCTAAAATACAGTACCTTTATAAAAAGGTATCGGAAGGACTTCCGGTTGAGCCCACGCGGGAGATGTTGCTGTGAACTGCTCTCCAAGATATCCCTCTAAATATGCTATCTTAAACAAAATGTTTGAAATATACAGAGGCTAAACTAGTCGGATACGTTTTGGACTACGGTGGCATGAACTTGCGCTCGGGATCAGTGACTCGGAAGGTGGAAATTAAAAAGAAAAATAACAGACGCAACGAGCAAACAAAGACAAGCATGGACAGGGCGGCCAGAAACACTCCGAAACACTAAAGAAGACATTGCTGCGCAAATCAAGGATTTCAGATCGGAATTTCAGCAACGCTCTGATGAAACAAAAGGAGACATCTCAAAACTAAGATCTGAAGTAAGAGAGATACAAGCGGCGTTAAATGGCATTAAAGAGGATGTTTCGGCTGCGGAAAAAAAGAATAAATGATTTGGAGGAGAGAGAGAGATAGCCTAAGTAATATTAAAGTCTTGACCCACTTGCTGCAGCAAGAAAGACATGTGGCTGAAAAACTGGAATATTTGGAGAACAAATCAAGACAGAATAACATAAGGATTTACCAGGTGAAGGAGAAGGCGGAGGGAGATGATATGGTCAGTTTCCTAAAAAAGGGCACATCTCGGAGACGCTGGAGATACCAGCGGAGGAACAACTTGACATTGTAGCGGCACATCGATCATATCAGAGAAAATCCATACAGAGTGGAATAGCTCCGCGCTCAATCGTGGTTAAATTTCTGACATGGGACACACGCCAAAAAGTCCTCCGTGCTGCACGGTCGAGGAAAACAATAACCCACGAAGGCAGTCGGATTTATTTCGATCAGGACTACTCATCTAAATTACAGAGAGAGAGAAGCCAATATGCCCCAATAAGAAAAGAACTGCGATAGAAAGGAGTGAAATCTCATCTCATCTACCCGGCAAAGTTGAGAGTTTTTGATGAAGGCGGATCCCAGATGTATAACTCGGCGAGGGAGGCAGCTGTAGCCCTGCATACCAAAGGTGCCATCAGCGGAGCGCAGCACCTGCTGGATCAGGAGGACCCGCTACCCAACACCCAGACTGGCAACCTTTCAGCGCCGTTTGAACAGTGGAGGAGACTGGGGGGACATTATCAGACGGCTGCGGACTTATTGAAAGAGCTGGAGGGTAAGCCTTGAGCTTGGCCCCAAAGGTACTGTAACATGCGAACTATAGGCTAAAATGGCCTGCACACACATAGTCCGCAAACCTGCGTGCATATAGACTTTGAAGAAACCGAACAGCCAAATATATTATTTTTATTTTTTATTTTCTGAACTACTGTAATGTAGCCTATGTGAAGGCTGGATAGACGCCGATTTCAAGGAACTGAACTCTATGGCATTTAATTAAATACAATAAAAGAATAGAATGCCTAGGTTTTTTTTCTGACTTACTGATTTTGAGACGCATAAATGGTCGAAAAAGTGGGATGAAACCCATAATGTACTGTGTTTAAATTTGCTGCTGGTATTTTATTTAGACCTAGCCTACTAACTAAAAGAGAAAAGGCTGTCGAGGTTAGGCAGACTGGGCAAAACTTGAGGTTGTAAACCTCGAAGGATATAATGGGCAACATAACGAGGGGTTTTACATTTACTGCAGTTTTGTTTCTTCTTTTGATCAATAAAGCCTATTAATTTATTTTGATCTAACGCCCATAGAGAAGTATGAATTTTAAAAGACAAAGGCACATAATTGTGTTTAAATATTTATGGAGAAATCAGGTCTAGAACCAAAAGGAAATTGTTTAACTTACCACTCCCTTTATTTATTTATTTATTTTTGTTATATATTGTTTTATTTTTAATATGCTCTGACTACTTTCAAAGGCTGTGCCAACAATGATATTACAAGAAACTAATAAAAAAAAAAATAAGCAAAAGAGAAAAGGCATTCTAAATAAGGGGAGGGAAAATGAACACTTAAAGGAAGATATTTGAGAAACAGGCCACCTTAAGATGGTATAGCCTAAATAGATTGGGGGGGGGGGGGTTCACAGCGATGTACAATGCAACTTGTTTTTGGGAAGCTGTTATTGCTTTCTCACTTGGGGCAATTCCAGAGAGAAGCCCCAGATTTCTATTCATATTTAGGGAATCTATACTTATTCGGCAGTCTTATAGTGACTGCTACTTCTGGAAACCATCATCTTTTTCTTTTTCTGTCTCACTTTTTTGGTATGGTGATTTTGTGTTGTTCACTTGTTCACATGACTGTCAATGATAATGTTAAATACTTGAAAAATAGTGTAACCAAAGTTCTGTTACATAACATGGACTGTGATTTATTGGACAAATTCAACTCATATGCTATCTTTACCAATAAATGAAAGCATTAAAAATTATTTCATATAATGTGAATGGTATAAGTAATCCGATAAAACGCAAGAAGTTACTTCAACAGCTTAAAAAAGAAGCGGGAGATATTATTTTCTTGCAGGAAACACATCTCGTGAAATCAGAACATGAAAAACTTAAGAAACTGACAAAGGCCCAAGTTTATTATTCATCATATAAATCTTCAAAAAGAGGAGTTGTAATTTTAATTATGCCTCAAATAGCTTTTACACTGGCAAGGATGTTAACAGACAAAGAAGGCATCTGCCTTCTTTGTCTGTTATGTCCGTAATGATAGTTGGAAAGATCAATGAGGTATTGGTCTCATTTATGAATGTCTACAATCCACCTGAAGAAGGTACAGACCTAATTAAAAAAGTTGTTGAGACAATAGTGTCAGAAAGCCAAAGGATAACAATCACTGCAGGTGACCTAAATATAATTATGGACCCAAGTATGGACACACAAAGTGATAGATTGCATAGCTCAGATCAAGCTGCTAAAATAATGAAAGGAGCAGCTAAAGAAATAGGGCTAAAAGATGTGTGGAGAACTTTCCACCCAAAAGAAAGAGATTATACTTTTTTCTCAAAATCCTCTAGTACATATTCAAGACTGGACTATTTTTTTATGTTTAAAAATCATGTATCGAGGGTTGTAGAATGTAACATAAATTCCATCACATTGTCTGATCATGCTATGGTAACTATGAAATTAAATCTCAACCTGGAAGTGGGTCATACTCTGTGGAGATTGAATAACTCTTTGTTACAAATGGAAGATTTTAAGATTAAAATAAGATCAACTTTAAAAAACTATCAAGAAATTAACGATACAGAGGATATCGAACCGGTTACATTGTGGGAGGGAGCAAAGGCAGTGCTGAGGGGGGAAATCAAATCTTTTGCCTCATATAAGAAGAGAGAGAGGGGGAAAAAAATTAAAGAAATAGAACAATCAATAAGGATATTGGAACTGGAACATAAGGTGAAAGGAAATGGTGCTACTTTGAATCTTTTGAATGAACTAATAAAAAAACTTGATCAATTATTAACTGAAAAGGTAGAGAAATTTTTGATATTTACCAAACAACAATACTTTGATAGTAGAGCAAGAGCAATGAAAAATTTGGCATATAAATTGAAAAAACAACAGATAAAATCAAACATTGTAACTATTAAAGATCAAACCAGGAATATAAATGTAAAAAGTAAACAAGAGATAGCACAAGAATTTGAAAAATATTACGAAAAATTGTATAATCCTGAGGACAACCTACTTACTCAAAATAAAATTAGCGAATATCTATCTGGAATAAGACTACCACAAATAACAGATGAACAAAATGCAAACCTAACTATACCAGTTACATTAGATGAGATTAAGGTAGCAATAAAAAAATTAAAAAAGGGTAAATGTCCAGGAAGCGACGGATTTACAGGTGAATTTTACAGAGAATTTGAGAAAGAACTACTGACAATCTTAGAGAGAACATTTAACTGGGAGTTGGATCACGGCCAATGGGCAAACACTTGGTGCAACTCTATAAATACAGTAATACACAAAGAGGGAAAAGATCCCTCTGACTGTGGATCTTACAGACCAATAACCTTATTGAACGTAGACCAAAAATTGCTAAGCAGTATTCTGGCAGATAGACTGGCAAAGATTGTTTCGAACATTATAGACCCAGATCAAACAGGTTTTATTCCAGACAGATATTTATTTGATAATGTACGACGAACTCTGAACATAATAGATTATTCACAGAAAATGAACATTCAAACACTGATGTTAACTTTGGATGCCGAAAAAGCCTTTGATAGGGTGTCATGGACCTTTATTTTAGAAATTTGTGCCAAATTTGGCTTTCATGACACCTTTATCAAATGGCTATAAGCACTGTATAAAATATCAAAAGCACAGGTCAGGGTAAACGGCACCTTGTCAGATAGATCTGAATTAAAACGAGGAATAAAACAAGAAGACCCACTGTCTCCTCTAATTTTCGCAATCTGTATCGAACCTCTGGCAGCATATATCAGAATGAATAAAGAAATTGAAGGTGTGAATATAGCAGAAGAGTGTCACAAATTGGCCTTATATGCTGACGATGTGGTTTTATATATAACAAACTTAGAAAAATCATTACCGGCATTAATGCAAACTATTAATGCTTACAGTTCAGCCTCAGGTTACAAGTTAAATATACAGAAGTGTGAAGCNTACACAAAGAGGGAAAAGATCCCTCTGACTGTGGATCTTACAGACCAATAACCTTATTGAACGTAGACCAAAAATTGCTAAGCAGTATTCTGGCAAATAGACTGGCAAAGATTGTTTCGAACATTATAGACCCAGATCAAACATGTTTTATTCCAGACAGATATCTATTTGATAATGTACGACGAACTCTGAACATAAT